TCGCGTTCAATTACTGGCTCCATATTGGGTTACAGAGGCTAAAATCTTTTTGATTTTGCCTCCAGCCGGACTTGAACTGTTGACCTTGTCTGTGGGGGCATGGGAGCTTAACCGCTAAGCTATGGGACCCATACCCATTATAACAGATCTTAAACTTATTAAAGAACAAATTAAACAATATTTTAAAAACTGAACTGCTTATAGGCCTATTAATATTCATAAATTCAACTCTAACTGATCAAAGGAATACCAACTCAAAACTATAACTAGATCAGATTATTACAGGTAGCTTTAGCTAAATTTTTAATAAATAAAATTTTTACAATTCTTAATCAGCTTTCTAACAATAAGACATGCAATCTATTTGGAATTAGCTGCAAAATGCTAAACAGGCTGGCTCTGCTTTTCTTCAAACAATAACTACTCTTTTTAACTAATGCATTTAAACTAATTGTATACTTAAGTAATAGAAAAAAGGTCACATCTTTTCAATATTTAAAAAACTTGTCTTTGATAGAAACCTATTTAATACAAGACCTATTAGTCTAGTCGAATATATTAAAAAAGTATACATCAAACTTATTATTAATCATCTTAATCTAATATTTACTCAATACTCTATTTTATTCTCTTATAACTATATTGTCCTACCTGGCAACAGTACCTCTATCTTTATACATATACTTAATAATATTATTAAGAATGTTAGTTGCAATAACAAACAACTTTGGCTCTTATCTTAGAATATGAGCAAAACATATGATTCTGTAAACTTTGATCTTTTTACTAAGTCTTTTAAATGTATATTAATGCCTCAACCTCTCATTAATATACTTATAAATCTCTTTACTAATCACCAAAACTGTGTTATATCTAACCTTAGACTTACTAATCTTTATTTAGTTAAAAATAGTATAGACTATGAAGAAACTATAATTCTCTTATTTTGGAGAATCTACTATAACTCTTTAATTAATAGAATAGTTATCACAATTTTCAAAATACTTTTTGTTTACATCCTAGAAAACCAACTTATACTTACCTCAAACTCAATACTTAAAAACATCTGTATTAGTTTTAGTTTACATAAATGACATTTTTTGAATTGCAAACTCCAAAAATGAACTCAACCTAATAACTAAAACTGCTATTTTCTTTTACCACATAGCCAATATTCAAATTAATTTAACTAAGTTAATTTTAACTACAAATTCTTCTATTATCTCTTTGTAGTTTTCCAGATTACTAATTTACTTTATTCCTAAAAACTAACTATTTAAGTCTCTTGGATGTTGGTTTATACTTAATAATAAATACTCTAAAACCATTAAACTGATAAAAGAAAAGACCTTTAAATAGCTAATACAAAGAAAATCACTAACAAACAAATTGCTTATATTATTAATACAGTTATTATTTCAACTTTAGAATACAAACTTTATAATATAATTCTTCCTCATACTGTATGCAACTAAATCTTATTTAAATACCTTATTGTAGCTAAACACAAATCTTATCTTTCTAGATCTATATCAAACAATACAATGCTTAATTCATTTCTATACAATATACATAACATCTAGAATATCCAACTTTAACATTATATATCTAACTACCTCTAATAAATTAACAATTCTGATTTTCTTGGTATTACAACTCAAATTAGACTCCAACAGTTATAAAACAACTTAAAGGCTGCATTAGGTCCTGCAGCCCAGCCTGGCCCAGCTTAGCCTGCAAATTTTTGCAGGCTGGCTAGGCCTACCTCACTTTAACTCTTATCTCAAGATCTATAAACTTTATAACTCTCAACATCATATTCTTAGCCTATATGATAATCAAGTTTCTATATTAGTTGGGATTACAGAAAATAAGTTTTTACAAATACATAAGGGTACTCGTTTTAGGGATTAGATATATAAAGTCCAAATCTCAATTAGGTTTAGGTTTTTGGGATCCTGAACATTTTTAGTTAGTATCTCTGACATGTGTTTGCTAGTACGTTGTTGAGATATAGCACCCTGGTGAATTTTTTCCCTTCCGGTGAAAATTAGAAATTTTCTAAAAAGAATACTAGTAATTAATACTGTATATTTATATAAAAAAATATGTTTTTTGGAATTGGAAACTCTTAAAGATGTTATTCAAACAAATTACGGAATACTAAATTTAATCGATTTTTCTAACCTCTGAGGCTCAATATTCACGTGCAGTAAGGGTTTATACTAATAAGAAAACTCACAAGTGGAAACTAAAGTTGTAGCTTTAAGGTCGGTGCGAACGTTGGTACAGAAAGGCGATTGGGTTCGTCAACGTTTCATAAAAAATGAGATGATAAATGGTTCCAAATAATTGAGAGCTTCCGTTAATTTTTCGTGAACATTTAAACACATGTTTACTTAAATCACATCAACCACAACAAAGTATCTACATAAAATTAGTAAAAATTATCAATTTAAAATTGCTAAAGAAATGAACGCTAAATACACGACACATCATTATAGTTTGTTAACATCTAAATAATCCGAATCACTTTCAATAGTATCATCTGAATCATAAACAATCTTTGCTTTTTTTACGTTATCATTTTTATAAATACTTTTTTCGACTTTAAAAACCTCAAAATCAATTAGTGAAAATAAAGTTGATTCGTAAATTGGTGTTTTATATGACTTAGGTACACAAAGTCCAACAAACCATTGCAAATCGGACCCGAATGAAGGGTTTCCTGCAGAATTCCAAATTGCATGTTTAGGGTCTTTTATACGTGAAATAATGTTTTTTATAATTCCGCCGTCTCTTTCAACGGAGAATATAAAACTATCAAATCTTGTGGTCCAGCCATTGTTGCAAATCCAATCACCTGGATTATAACCACCAAGAATTTTATTTGACTCTACAATTTTAATGATTATAAGAGTAGCGCCTTGATATCCACAAATTTCGTGAAATTTTCGAGCATTAGTCATGCCATCCCTGCTTCCACGGAACAATAAATTAAAATCATAAGGGATATCAGCTGGTAAATATGGTTCTGATTTATCATCAATCCATGTAGCAACCTGACAGAACCCATTTATATCCATAAGAATAGAATCTATAGAAGTAAAGGACTCATGATCTGAATTATTAGCAATTGATACATCGGATTCACTTTTAATGGCACGTGGTGGGAGTTTACGGAATTTCTTTGGAGGAACCTGGGCAAAAAAATAATCTTTAATTTCTTCTTTCAATTCTTTTGGAAGAATTTTTTTGTATGGGCGAACCCTTGTTCTATGATCTATTCCAGAAATGTTGAAGAATCTAATATGTGGAACTAGGTTTTTAACAGTTTTTTTTAGTCTTATAAAATCTCGATTTGTCCACTGTGATACATCCGTATTCAATTCAATTTGCGCCATTCCCCAACGAATAACAGATTCCCAGATTAAAACCTCATCGAGAACTATGTCATCTCTCTTGAATAAAGAGATTAAAAAATCCGCTTCCAATTCAAGAAAACCATCAGAAGTCAAAATTGAGGCTGGATTCGTATTGAAAATTTCATGACAAAAATTTTCAAGCCTTGTAAAAGCTTTGGATTTAGCGGTTGTTCGAAGGATTTTAAAGAAATTGTTGTGTATCCAATCAATTTCATGAGAAATAAGGTACTCTTGCATATTTTCAGTTAATTCCGAGAGTTCTAATTCATCTGCGGCAGTTAAAAGATTAAGATAGATGGATTTGATCGTTTTGTCACCCATATTAATGGAACCGCTATAGATATAGCTGATTTATAAAGAATTTAGGCCTTTAAAGTAAATATTTACAACAATACATATGAAAGCATCTACGATAGGGAGAAAAAAAATGCAAACCCTAAAAGAACTTTGAACACACAAGGTGGGATACTTGGCAACAACAATACACATTCATTACTTTCCTCATCCCATTTTTTGGATGACAAGATCGATCGAAAATAAGATGATCTGGCATGCAGTATTAAAAAATGTGCTCTAAAACTATCGATTTCGGGATGTTGGCCAACCTGTAGCACCACGTCATAGCTTTCGGATTCGTTAGATAAAATTTTAATATCACGTAAAAGAGCATTTTCTAATGATATCATTTTTGTTCTCAAGTTATTGATGGATCGAAGAAGAAGATAATTTATGGCCAACTACGCTCAAATAAAAATTAAGTGTTTTTTCCAGTTTTTTTTTGAGTTTTGTGGCTATGTGCTATTATTATTTTAAGGTAATAATAACCAGTCACAGATGGATTTGATCGATTATTATTATATAAGGATAGTCAAATACAGCATAGATTTAAAAATAATCAATCAAACAGCCTCATCAAACAATGCCCTCAGGGATGCCCCTTACATCATTAAGATCCTATCTACACCTGATTAATCTACAGTGGCTGCAAGTTGGTCCTGTAAGCTTCGTTCTAAATGATCGATCATATTTTTACCGAGTTTGAATAAACATTCTGATATATTGTAGCTTGACTTTTAAGATCAATCTTTTGAAGTTTTTTATGATAAGTTTTTTTTTTTTTTTTTGCCATCTTGTGCTTTCCGTATATTCTTTTTGCATACTTTATTTGCATTCGGTAGACAAACCGGTGTTAATAGCATTCAATAGATGAAACGGCATTAACTCTGAGTGTTAAATTTTATCAGTAGAGATGTCATAGAAAAGGACATGTATATTCAACGTTAATTATCGATTATATCGTACTGCTGTTCCGGGATTATCTGTTCCAGAATGGGCCGTATTGATTCTGTTACAATTTACAATTTCTCGAAAGCCACCTTACAAATTTTCCTTTGGGACCTATGATTGGACATATATTTACAAAAGTTCATTTACATGAACTTTAAAAATATTTACCCCGATCAGGAATACAAAAAAATTTGAATCCAAATTTGTTCAATTAGATCCAAATTTCTATGATGCCGGAAGCTTATACTCGACAATCACGTGAAATGTTTCAATTTTCATATGATTGCTATTGACCAATAAAGTTAATCTTTATAATATACAGGTATAATGTTTATATAGTTGCCCTATACGTATATATTAAGGTTAGGGTTAGATTTAGAAATATGTATTGGCATGCAAAATTAGGTGCTGAACAATTTTCCTTAATATGGTTATCTCAGAGATATTAATGATTTTTGATTTTTTTTTTCTTATACGTACCAGGTATTATACCCATCAGGTACAAATAGTAATTCTTTAAAATTAATATATTTCAAAAAAAATCCAAATAGATTTTTAGAAAATTGCTATTTATACCCCCATTTTACTATTCATACCTCTCACTCTTATAAAAAAATCATTTAACCATAAAAATTGGTTACTTACTAGAAGGCCAAATTGAGAGATATAGATAGCAATGCATATCCTCCTAAAATTAGTAGATTTTATTTTTTTTAGCAACTGGAGAGTAGGGAATTTGAGAATTCTCTGGTTAATAATAATTATTTGTATTTTTTGTCACTTTATAAGGGCATTATGACGCAGGTGGGTATTGTGACGTACTCATGTTTTTTGACGATACTTTGATCAGAATCGAGTGATTTGATTCGTCTTACTGAGACGGATCAAATAAATAATGTTTTTTTTTTGTTACAATTGCTAAATCACAATATATAAGTAAAAGTCGACATTACTTATGACAGTATTAAGTTTATTTTAATTTTTATAATATATTTCCTCATTTGGGTAATGTCTGGAGGAAGGAAACTACCCCAGTGGCACCGACAGACTTTCACTGATCGACATTTTTTTTAAAACCATAAAACGGTACATTAGGTTCAGGTTTATAATTATAACGATACTTGTCTTATATGCAAGGAATTTTGCGCAGAAGATGGTTACATAAACGAAATTTTAGTTACGTCGGTTTTTTGGATTTCACGTTACACCTGATCTTGTAATCTGGTAGTTGGATGAAGGATGCAATAATACAATACGAAACACAGTACCTTCCAAATGTAAAAAACATAGCATTTTTTGAATAGATTTTAAAAGCTCATATTTCAATATTTTTTTTTAAAGCGATTTTTTTTTTATTGGCAGATAGTTAATTCGCTGAGTAATCTATTTCAATTCATTTTGTAAATAAATACGCTATTCCTAAAATTTTTATATAAGCAACTCTTAAGTGCGTCATAATAACGCCAATTCGCGTATAAAAAAAAAAAAAAAAAAAGTGCGTCATAATACCCTACACTCTTTTACGTAATATATTAGTTATACGACCTACATTTAGTATGAAAAAAAGACACTTATGTCTGTATGTAAGCACCGGGTATTACAGAAAAATGTATAACCCTGTTTGTAAGTAATGTATACTATCGTTTGTATATATGTAGGCTAAGAACATTTACGGAGAGAAACTTATAATATTATCTTTTATAAATGATCTCTTTTTAATAGTTAGGGTTAGGGTGAGCTAATATTGCTCTTTTTCATGTTAAGGTTAGTATAGGCCATAGGTAAAGTCTCTTAAAGAATTTTTATTCATACTTTATTAACTATTTATTACGCGTTTGCTATATATCGTAAGCACCTGATGTTTTTCATATACAATATTCGTCACTTTCTAATCAATGATGCACAAATTTCGTTCATTTATATTTGATAATACACAAATTTTCATCACTTATATTATACACTAAACCAAATACTCCAAATTAATAATAGAGGTGTGAAATAGGGTGATCATCAAACTAGTAAAGTCAAACATTTTTAGAGCCGCATATGATAAATATTTTTTACGAAAATACAGTAGCCAACAAAGTAACGTCCGATTTTTGATCAAAAAAAAAATTTTTTATTTATTTATTTTGGTCGCATATACATCAAATTTTTGTTTAATATTTATTTGTCCGGAGCGTAGCGAAGGACACTATATTATTCTGTAAAGGATGATATGCAAGATTTGTTTGCGCGGTTACATCACGTAACAATCGTTCAATCAAATAGTAACACATATATAGTATAGTAAATGTAATATAATTTGTAATTTAATACTTGCTCTGGACATACAATGCTATGAATTTACTTGCTTTATTGAGTGATTTCTTACACTTGCAATAGTTTGATTCTTTGTGTTATTAAGTTTGCAACTACACAAAGAACTGATGTATTCAAACTTGATAATGTTTTCTATAAGGTCATTTTAAGTTCAGATTTATTTCTTAAGAAGTCATCATGGTTCTGAATTTTGTCTTTCATGATCTTCTAAATGTTTTTTATAGGGTTAAGGTAAGGGATTGTGAAAGTTAATTTGTATAATCAATATTTTTTAAATTAAGTTAATCTAATACCTTATAAATTAAAGCATTGTCATGCTGAAAAATTGGATGAAGATTATTTAACAAATAAATTGTAATTATAAATAATATAAGATGGTTATTTAGAATCTTAATATAAATGTTTTTATTAATTATTTGTTTGGAATCTTTATAATTATCAAAAAAATTATAAGTTCTTTAATGTTATCAATAAAACATAATTAAATTATTATTGAGATCTTTTTATTTCTAAAATTTAGTTGTAAATACTTATGTTTGTATTTATTATTTGCATAATGTTATACTTGAACTTGGTAGAATTGTTTACTTATTTTTATATTTATTTTATCTGAAAAATAATGCATCTTTAATAGTAAGCATTTTTATTTTTATTTTGTTTATATTATTTTATATATATTTTTATATTGTTATTTAATAAAAAAAAAATTTAAGATAACAATATAAGAATAAAAGTTTAAATTTTTTACAATTTTGAACAAAAACATATATCTTTTTTTAATATTTTTTTATTATAATGGTCTTTTTTGTTTTTTTAAGTTGAGAAGATATCTAAACTAAGATAAATTTTTTTTGATCCTTCTATATTTTTTTAAAAATCTTTAAACAATTATTAGATTATATCTAATCTTGCAAATAATTTTTTCAGTACTTATTGTATTAATATAATTTTTTTTTTTTTTTGAATTTTGGCTACAATGCCAGTTGGTTTATTAGTTTTAATTTTGATATAGTACAAATTTACGGTTATATTTTTAGGATTGATTATTACTAGTACTATATACTATCTAATTTTATACTACTGACTTCACTTGGTTACCCATATAGCATCTAAGTGCATATTCACTACATGCCTGCATGTAGTTATCTTAACAACTACTTGCAGTTAGGGTACATCATTAAACCACTACACAGACAAGAATACCTACTGAATTTAATACAGTATCTCAAAGCCAAGGTTACTGTCTTCTGTAAATCATACCCATATGTTCTACTCATATGTTTTATCTGGTTTTGTTTCTTTTGCCTCTTAATCTAACTATATCTAATATTATCTTGTTCCCCACATTTCTCATTTTTTTGTCACTGTACCACTCCTAAATTGGTTCTATTCAGGTATGTTTGATCCTTATAATCTTCTCATCTTTGGTATATCTGTTATTGATTCCTTTAAGGTGTTCTGACAATAGTCTAGGATCTGCAAAGAACCTGTATCTTAAGCCAGATCTGTTGCTGCTATTGGTCTTTTTGACCAATCCATATCTCAAGCTAGGTCTGCTAATGCCATTTTTGCAGATGCCCCAGGTCTTAATGTCATATAGTAACTCGATGCTGCATTTAACTTCCAATATAGTGTTCTCTTTTATGATGAGGACTGAGACTTGTTGTGCTTACAAATAAGACAATTCTGATTATAGCTAAGAAGCTTCTCCAAACCTAGTAATACTATACTACTATATATTGCAAGCTCCTAGCTTATTCAATAATATCTGCAGAACAATTCTGGTTCTGCCCCAAGGAGTTACATTAACCCCAGTAATGTCATACTATCTTGCAAATCTTATCTTATATTGGTTAGTTAATTCCAGTTTTATTTATCATAGACTTCTATATAGATATAACCAGGAACCTAATTTGGTACTTTTATATTGTACAAGGAAGTTATATACCAATTTCTAAGATTTTTCTCTTCTATAATTAGATTATTTGGCTATGTCAGAGGTGTTTTCAATTTTTGGTTAGACTAATTCTTTATCACAGTCTGTCCTTATATTTACCACTTCTCTCATTATTCCAGT